TTTCGAAATAAGACATTTATCATTGTTTGCTTGCTACATGTTTGGCGTTTTGCATGCCACTGCCACACCATTTTTGTATGTTCTGTCATACACATATCCTTGATGTGTGTACATATTTTTGTATGACACAGATACAGGAAGTGAAGAACGTAGAAATTAAAAATATACAGTTTAGTAAAACAATTATCTGATCCACATCCTATTGAGCTGTCATTCTTCTAGACCTCCTCAGTGATGTGAAGGACATAAGCTATTGATACATAGGAAATCAAGGAACATAATAATTTGATGAGAAAAACCAACAAGAAAATATCAACATGTCAACATAATCATAATAAAAATTCACATTGAATTAAACGTGGGGAAATATGATGAATTCGATATTTTCCTTTTTTTTGCAGGGGGAGGTTTGAATACGCAATTGCACAAATAATACAACTGTATGAATAACAAATAACAACTGCATGAAAGCTGATCTGTATTGGCAACAACCGATCAGCGAAAATATAACGACCTGTGTGGATGACAACCAACAATTGTACACATGTTACACCTGTGTGGATGACAACCAACAGTTGTACACATGTTACACCTGTGTGGATGACAACCAACAATTGTACACATGTTACACCTGTGTGGGTGACAACCAAAAATTGTACACATGTTACACTTGTGTGGATAACAACCAACAATTGTACACATGTTACACCTGAGTGGATGACAACCAACAATTGTACACATGTTACACCTGTGTGGATAACAACCAACAATTATACACATGTTACACCTGTGTGGATAACAACCAACAATTGTACACATGTTACACCTGAGTGGATGACAACCAACAATTGTACACATGTTACACCTGAGTAGATAACATCCAACAATTGTACACATGTTACACCTGAGTGGATAACAACCAACAATTGTACACATGTTACACATGAGTGGATAACAACCAACAATTATACACATGTTACACCTGAGTGGATGACAACCAACAATTGTACACATGTTACACCTGTGTGGATGACAACCAACAATTGTACACATGTTACACCTGTGTGGATAACAACCAACAATTATACACATGTTACACCTGAGTGGATAACAACCAACAATTATACACATGTTACACCTGAGTGGATGACAACCAACAATTGTACACATGTTACACCTGAGTAGATAACAACCAACAATTATACACATGTTACACCTGAGTGGATGACAACCAACAATTGTACACATGTTACACCTGAGTGGATGACAACCAACAATTGTACACATGTTACACCTGAGTGGATAACATCCAACAATTGTACACATGTTACACCTGAGTGGATGACAACCAACAATTGTACACATGTTACACCTGTGTGGATAACAACCAACAATTGTACACATGTTACACCTGTGTGGGTGACAACCAAAAATTGTACACATGTTACACTTGTGTGGATAACAACCAACAATTGTACACATGTTACACCTGAGTGGATGACAACCAACAATTGTACACATGTTACACCTGTGTGGATAACAACCAACAATTATACACATGTTACACCTGTGTGGATAACAACCAACAATTGTACACATGTTACACCTGTGTGGATGACAACCAACAATTGTACACATGTTACACCTGAGTAGATAACATCCAACAATTGTACACATGTTACACCTGAGTGGATAACAACCAACAATTGTACACATGTTACACATGAGTGGATAACAACCAACAATTATACACATGTTACACCTGAGTGGATAACAACCAACAATTGTACACATGTTACACCTGAGTGGATGACAACCAACAATTGTACACATGTTACACCTGTGTGGATGACAACCAACAATTGTACACATGTTACACCTGTGTGGATAACAACCAACAATTATACACATGTTACACCTGAGTGGATAACAACCAACAATTATACACATGTTACACCTGTGTGGATGACAACCAACAGCTGCATGCATGGTACATCTATGATGATCATATATGATACCCTTTAATTGGTAACAATCAATAATTATACACTTGTATAAAGTAAGTTGAAGTAAGGTTCGTTAGCAGGTCACAACCTTAAAATGACCGGATGGATTCTCTTATCATATGTTATGATCATTTATTACACTTCATTGTAATATCGCGATGGAATAACATCATCATTAGACATCTTTGCGAAGAGATAGTACTCTGAACAAACATCATAATACTTGAAGAGTTTAATTTTATCATACATTCTCTATACTCATATCATATTGGGAGTTTGGACATTTAATACAACGAAATGTCGTTTTTATATAAAAAAAAAATCTGCTTCTTTATTTATAACTCCGGAAAAGTTAATCTAGTGATAGTGTAGTGATGTAAGTCGGTTTTTAATCAAGGATTGTCTGACAGTTGTACAAGACACAATCCTGTGAAAAAAAACTGTTCGTGTATTGTTTGGCAGTAAGATCGATTGCTGTGATAGTATACATACCTTAGGTCAGCAAATATAACTGCACTAGTGCCATAATGTATTGGTTTTCTTGGTGTGCTTCTCCAGAACATTATCATTTCAAACCAATAACACTTTTTGCATGATTTATTTAGGCACGCAGTCTTGGCATGCCCTTCTTAGATAGTCCTGCACATATGTAATGCCTCACACATTATCGATTCTTTGTATGAAAATTTACTATTGATCCTCTTACAGGTCAATCATATATCACACAATGGGCTAGCCATCTGGAACGTTTATTTACAACAAAATAATTTATTTTCACATTGAAAATGTCAAAATGTAAGATTAAGACAAGATGCATTGATACAGATCATGAGAACGACAAGTTACCAGAATCTAAATTAAAACATAAGTTCAGTGCTACTATGGCAAACTAAGAACAAAATAAGGATATACATGGAGACTTCTTATCATGATGTTCCGGACGGGTAAGCAACTTATGTTTAATGAATGGTACCAGTCATGTGATATTATTTTGCTAAATCGAGAACAAGTTAAACATCAACGGAACCACCAGGCATAATACCTATTATCAAGTAGGTTCGACTTCATACCAAACGAGGCTTTATCTATCGAAGAGCTTGTCAAAACTGGAAAAAATCACTTTCAATTAGTTTGATGTTTAAATAACAGTATCCCTTTTTGAGGAATGGAATGTATACCGAAGGTGATAAGGTAATGACATTTTCCCTCGGATGGAGCTTAACATCGAAACATATCCGAGCTACTCTCCAACAACACCAAATATTGCAGACAACACGGCAACACATTAGAATGAATTAAGTATATAATAGTGTAGTAAGAAACAGGAAACTGAATAGCTCTACAAGTCACAGGACAATTGAAATGTCCATGCTGTAACTTTAGATGTTTTGAGGAGAGTAAAGAAACAAAGAAACATCAATCAACATCTAATATTTGGTGTATCTATTGTGAAATATATATAAAAACATGTTTGCTTTTTGAGTTTGTTTTTACGATAGTCCAGGTTATAAAATAACAGTGTTTACCGTCATAGGACCACACAAAGGTCGTTTTAAAACATATATAACATCCAACCCAATCTTATGATATCGTGGTTTCACGTGTTATTACTAATATGAAGTTGAGTGTCTATCACAGAGTAATATTGATTTTAAGGTACAATTAATAACTGTCCTTGTTGGGTAGCTGAGGGATACAGCTGTGTAAGGAAGTACAATAGGAAGGGCTGAGAATAACGGCAGCATGGCTATGAAACGTTTCACCGGTTTCAGACAAATTGCTGATGAAATTTGTTAACCCAAGTAAAAGACATCCCAAAAATTCGGTACTGTTTTGCTGACCTGGTCCAAACACGAGCTCATCCTATAATGATGCAAAGAGAATTTAAATCTCAGAGCCATCGTAAAAAACTTATAGATGTCCCAGCTATGTACGTGAACATTTCCGTCTCTTTAATTCTGTTTACATTCGTTCGTCATTGGCCCTAACGAATTTTGTTAGAGGTTACCCCTCTAGGCAACGATAATGATACAAGGCTCCAACGCGTGAAATAAGGTATAAAATACGTTGCGTGCGGGTTCAATGAATTCTGACTAGCTATATCGTCAGGTAATGACATCAGACAGAACGCCAATCTTGTGCACAATTAGTAAAAGTAGATTGTGCGCGACATGAACGAATTTGACACCCAACAATGGATGTACCTAGGTTTGGTGTTTGCGTACAAGTCTATTGCATAGAAAACCATTTGGTAATTGTATAAGGACATCTTCAATCACACTGGCGAGATTACTATACAACAGATGGGTGGTCAGATTAAGGGAGATTCACTGATACAAAAGATAATGTCTTGAGTGCAGTAATAGTTGTCTGCCAGAATCATATATATATATCAATAACAGCAATATGATAGTATTACGAATGTGGACGTGAAACTGTCCCGAGGTAGGCGAAAAACGATGATTTGTTTTGTTGGTGGTAAAGAAAACTATGAGTGGTGAGTACGACGAAATGGTTGAGATCATCATCGATCAGGCTCCTGACTGATACAGCAGCTGACACGGCGAGCAGTAGAGAGCGCTAATACCAGACTCTCCGATACTTACTACACCGAAGAGCCATTCATAGCAAGTGTATTAACAACGTACCTAGTGCGCATGCCGTCGGATCGAAGACGAGTGTTTTTTTATTTGGAACTGTTTCAGCTGACAGTTTCATTAGTGATTCAGACAGGATAAAATGTAAATGACGGTGAGGCTTCTTAACTTATCACAGAGGAAAACAGATTAATTTGAATCGTATCCACTATGATTAACGTAATTGAATGCCCAACTTCGCAGTGATGCCTTTAATGGGATGGTATAAAGTCGTCCGGTACTATCTAAATATCAATTTGTATCAAGTACATTTTTGTGATTTGAGATAACATATTAAAGTTCTGAAACATATTACCAATAAGATGTGATTTGAAACGGATTTACACGATACGTAACGATGGACTATCAAGATAGCATTTTTTCAACATTCCATAACAAAAGTTCAGATACATTTCAGGAGTTTCCAGAGATGATGTTTCAAGTTACCACTCCTGTCGGTTGTGTACCCGTGGGGTCGGATAATGTGACGGAGTACCCTGAAAACACGACACTCTGTAAAGTGGTGCAAGTGGCAGGGCTCCCTCAAGATATGACTTTCAATGAGAACAGTGTGGTAGCGGTTGCTGCATATACCTGTCTGTTCGTGGTAGCAGCATGTGGCAATCTCACAGTATTTATCACTTTATTTAGAAACAGGCATGTGAAATCTAGAGTAAACCTTTTCATCTTACACCTGTCCATAGCTGATCTCATTGTCACCTTCATCATGTTACCTATGGAGATTTCCTGGCACATCACCGTGGCATGGACTGCTGGAGACTTAACCTGTAGGATTCTCATGTTTTTTCGTGCATTCGGGCTTTATCTGTCCTCCTTTATACTTGTAACTATTAGTCTGGACCGTTATTTTGCTATTTTGCATCCTTTGAGTTTAAATGACGCCGATAAACGAGGGAAAATAATGTTGACGTTAGCGTGGAGTTTTAGCCTTGTTGCAAGCATTCCTCAGGTAAGATACAAACTCCCACATATATCATGTCAACGTCCCCTTTACCACTCGTCTTAAACATTGGTGCTCCATAAACTTCTGTTGCAGACCGAAATAATACATGCTTATGAGTTAATATGTTTTGGGAGGATTAGCAAAAGATGTACTAATGTTGAATCTTATATTTCAAACAAATAGACACGAACAATATTTGAAACATAAAGTTATATTCAAGATATTATTATACAGCTTAAAAGTAGTCTGCAATTTATAAACTTTATCTTAATCAGCAATTAAGATACAAAACATGTCGGGAGATTAAGACGGGCGGGGGAAGGGGGGGGGGTAATAGTGTTTGTGGCCGGGATTTCTATCATGGCAATGATTAATAATCTTGTTATGCCAGGAGGTGTCTACGAATATATAATCACGATATTACTGTAATATGTAAAAACCAAAGATAATTCACCTCACGTGTTCATATTATCTTGTCTGCAACACCAACATTAGATGTGGAAATAAGAAATCAAACATTAGCGTAATGAACCATCCTACTGGCAGTTTGTGGTTTTGAAATTGAATCAAGTGGAAACGATTCATATGAGATGATAAACCTCTTTTCTTGATGCTTTACCACCGTTAGGTAAGTAATTTGAGATAGAGATATGGCTATGTACCGAGACCGACCAAGGGATTGTAACTAGATTAGAGCTGTATATTTCAAGTGATAGATAAAAGGGGATAACAGGCCTAACTCTTGTTTCCTTCTTACGAACTTAAATATGCCTTCTTCGTAAGTGTTCACAAAAATAACCAGAGAGCCCAGGCGCCTCCAATTCGATCAAGCTTTGATCATGTACAAGTACGGCCGTAAACTAATTACTTGTTTCTGCCTGATTCAATTTCATTAAGTGATTCGATATTTAGTTATGGTACATGATAAAGCAAAAACAAACATACTCCTGTACGTCCAAAGCTATCAGTGGAATTTCAATGAACTTTTTGATTGGCGTGCTATATATAATGAAGATATGTATGAGCAACATTATCTTATATGGATGTTCATATTTATTTTCCATTTCATTTTGCTGTAGTTTTTCACATTTGATCCTTCATATATGAATCTATCACAAGCTCTTGTATGTCAGATTCGTTGTGTCGACTAAATTTTATCCGTTATATATATATTATCATTAAGATAAAACAAAATTAGACATTTACAAAAAATTACCCCCATCTCTTCACACGAATAATGTTTTATCACAAACAATTTATATATTCTTCTGTTGATGAAGTAAATCGTTTGATAATAAATCTCGAAAAACAGAACTCGTATGTAGATTCGAGAGGCTGCTTTGACGTTTTCGACGCCTCATCAAAAACAACTGCATTATAATAATCGGCAAAAAGCAAGGCAATACCAACATGACTACAGAATCCCAATCAGAACTCAAATACAATCAAACAAGTGCAAATATGAACAAAAGAAGATTGATATTGATACTTCTAAAAATACAACGGGATGAAGACCAAGCGTTCCGGAAGAGTAAGCGTATTCTACTTCTTTGACAACATCCACAATGTAATCATTGTCACGTTGTCAAATAAGAACATATCAAACAACAACGAAACCAACTGGTATACTCTCGTGCATACAAATAATTCCTCAACGAAATCATTAAAACTATCGTGAAACTGCCCTATCAGTATCATTAATCTGTTCTGTCGAAAAAAACGTTGTTGCGATTTCATCAATCAGTTACCGAGATCTTGCATGAAAATCATGATATTGAGATCAAGTCCTCGAATATCGAATCAACTGCGACATGTAAACATGCTATGTTGTTGATACACGAATGTTGTTTCCAGAATTGGAAACATTACAACAGGAAAATTGAAATCATCACTGTTATCATACAGTTAAGTAAAAAATGACCCTGTTGATTTTGTAGTGGGAAGCGGCTGACGTAGAAGAGCCTGTTGTGGTTGTGTTGCTAAAATGTGATCTGATAAACATCTGTTAACGTAATCGTAATGTATACAGATTACAGTAAACTACCGGAGGGTTATAATATATAGTTAGATTTGGTAATGGTACGGTTTTGTTTGTTTGATATGTATCATCAATATGTATCGCATGTATCAGTAACGTGGGTGAAAAAGACATTATTTATTTACCATTTTTCCGAAGAATTCAATCCTCTGCTAAGAAAAGTTATCGTTCATATGAACTTAAAAGAATTATGATTTTAAATCAAAATAGACGAAAAAAGGGTAAAAACAGAATCTATAAAGTTACTATTGAAACAATTCACGGCAAATATGAAAATATTTTTCTAGAGGATTCATCGAGAACGCCTATCTTGTAAATCTAGGTCAATCAAAATATAGACCAAATACTCCACAAATATTAATGTTCATAACAGCGAAACCAACAGACATTATGTCGGCCATGGAACTTCCTATAATCTTAATCTATCTGTGTCTAGTTAACGTTACTTCACAAGAACACAGACAGTACTTTCAGAAGTAATTACAGTAATTAATAAACGAAAACTGCAAGGTTCTTCTCATTGCGAAAGGTAAACAGACATTTCTCTAATTCTAAGTAAATTGAGTTGTTTATCTTCACAATTTACAAATCAATTTTTGTTGAGAACATCGCAAGTGCAACTTTTTTGAGCTAAAGAAACCCTTTAGATTTTCCATGCCTGTGATTTGATTTGTAAGTGAACACGTTTAATAAAACTACAATTTGACGAGCATATCCGTGGCAGCCTGCCTTAAATGTTGCTGACATTTCCTTGACAAGCTAGTAGAGAATCAGAAAAAGATACATTATGTATGAATTTAAAAACCTAAATTGTATCTTATATCTTTATATCGTTAAATCAATGCCCTTTCTCCCAATCTTTGTCTGAAAAAATGAACTTTGCAGACTAAGCCCCTTTGCTGCAATTTCTATAGTCTGTAATTCTCCACAGAAATATCCGACAAAGGTAGTCGGATAGTGGGCAGAGCTATGATCGGACTTTTTGTAGGTTTTGCTTGGCTATTTCAATATTAAGAAAATAATTGCGGCAGAGATATAAGTTTTTAAATAAAAGTTTAACGCATGTAGAGAAAATACGTTTGTAGTTACTGCAGGGATATCTGTTTCTTAATCAGATATCAAAAACCGCATTAACAGACTTATTTAGTTTGATATATCTGAACCAGGTAAAGCACTTTGAACGAATAACAGCAATTAAATTGCATGAAGGACTTATTTTAACCGTATCTTGGTTAAATTCCCATACCTTATATGATGTACTTTATCATGTAATAGTTTTTCCAATACAAATATACATTCTAGATAAATAAATTGATTCAAATATATTCTTAACTAGATAAGTTAAGGTATTCTACACATATACTTGCAATTGCAATCTTCTAGAATTGGCAAAGTGTTTTTGTAGATCGATTTTGTATTGCTTAACGTCCTAATAAAATCTATGGTTATATATTCTCAATTTCTCTATGCATTTTGGATAAGCTGGTGTGTTTTAAGAGGCTGATGATAGTACCAATCCAATATCAAATTGTATACCGCACCCTGTCACATTATACTTACAACGGGCACACCAGTTGTAATAATGTAACGCGTGGTGTATTGAATAACATAGGAGTGGTGAACAACAGACAGAACAGCGCTCTACAGAATTAAAGATAACTTTAATTGATCTTATATGGGAAGACGGACGAAAGAGATGCTGATGTGATGCATTCTAAATATGTATACAAACCTGCCCACACTATACCGTTTTTATGTTGAAGCCGAACCGAAGAAACTTGTGAGATTTGTCTTTATATAATAGACAATTTACCATTATTTGCTGCTTGCCAATCTCTAATTGACTTTCAGCTCGGAAGGATTCGGGTTAAAATGAAACAAATTCAAACTAAACTAATATCATGTGACACGATATACCATAATCTAATAAAACTAGACAAAAGGAAGTTACCTATTTATCCAGGATAAAAAATTCGCCAGACTCTTCACTGTCGCCCCGCCATGCATCGGACAAGCCTGTTACTATTTTTTATCTTATGAATTTAGTTTGTAAATGACTGAATGCTTTAAAAGCTTTAATGGTTGGTGTTGTGACGAGGTAATTGTATCGAGTTTCTGTGGTTAAAGGCGGACTAATTTGTTTTTACAAAATAACTTAACACAAAGGGTCAATGTGATCTGTCACCACTAGTCTTTTAAATGTTATCTGAACACTGACTCCTTCTGAACCCTCGGATAGATTTTGGTCCAGTAAGATATAAACAGATACCATAGGGAGGATGATTAGTATCATTGAAGAGGGTAAACTCTGGTGCTTCAGGGACGAGCACAAAAAGAGGAAGCTGAAGTTTTTTGATTATGTTGTTGTAGCTGCCGTTAGAGATGCGTCTAAAATGTTGATCCTTATAAGGAGAGTGGCGAAATTTTAAACTTAATAGAATGGCAGATATTCTATGCATTTGAAGTTTGAAACATAGGTTAGTTAACAATATTATACATTGCATACATACAGTTATGTATAACCTACGGGGTATTGCGAAGCACGAACTACGGGTAACTGGACTAATAATATTATTGTTTTTTAAATGGATACAAGAGTTGCCAACTACTAGTAAGCTTTGCCTAACATGTCACTAGGGCGAGTCAAACATGTTTTATAGCTAGAAGCCTTCACTTTCGGAACACCTGGTTGTATTCTCCTTGTAACCTGACCGTGAAAATCCTGTGTTGTCAGTTCGTTACTTTAACTAAAATTGTATTTGAAATTTAAATAAAATCATGTTGGAATGTCGTTGTTGTTTATTCTCATATGAGTTTTACCTTGTTGTGATTGAAACGAGAAAGGTAATTGTATGACAGATAAATGACAAAATATGGACGTTATATTATTAAATGGTTGCGAAATTTCAAACGAATCTCAACAAGCTAATAATAACTTTTCTCAACAGGCTGACATATTGTGTGAAGA